CAGGGTGTTTCATTGTACTCAGTGGGAGAAATAGCGAAAAGTTTATCTGCCCATCTTCTTAGACTCAGGCCCTGTGACCGCTCATTAGAGCCCCTCACAGGCTGGGCCCCGCCTCCCTGCAGGCCTCTCGTCCCACATAAGCGCCTTGGCTCTGCCACATCAGACCGCTGGTAGTCCCTCGAACTTGTCCTGCTCTTTTGTATCTTCATGCTGTGGCTCTTCCTCAGCCTCAGATGACCTCCCCACTCCCTTCCTTGCCTGCCTGTGGTGTTTCTGTTCTGTTCACTTGGGTTTTCTCTGTAAAAACCTACCTGGATGGTTTGTATATTCTTTTTGCCTCTTCTGTCCTGTGTAGCACTTCAGACTTACCTCTACAACTACACTTTGTATTGTAATTTTGTCTTTTCCCTTAACCAGATCATGAGCTGCCTTTGAGGGCTGAGACTCCATCCTGGATAACCTTGTCCTCAGTAACTAGCACAGTAGTTACTTAAGAATTGTCTGTTGGTAGATGGACGGATGTAGTTCTGGTTTCCTACCTTTGTTACCACACTCACACAGCCCCTACTGATGCACTGTGTGTATGCCTCCTGCTTCTACAGCGGAAAGAGAAATCCAGCAGCTTGTCTAAGAGAAGGGTTCCTTGGCCTGTGGCACTCTGTGACCTGTTAGCTGTCCTATATTCATAGCCTTTGTATTTTTCTGAATACAGAATTGGTGGCCAGATTAAGTCTAACATTGTATCTTATCGAGAATGGGAATGATCACTTCAGCAGTGTCAGCACCTGGTAAAGTGACACTCAGATGCAGGCACTTAATAAATATTCCTTAGTGATAACGATGAAGAAATGAGTCTTGGTAGCTCATTGCTGTCATTCTTGCTGAGATGTGTTTCCAGAACTGCTTTGTGGATCCTAGAGGACTTTCACTTGCCTGTACACTGAGCTAGACCTGGGGTTGGTGATGGGAAAGCGCTAACTCATGCACTGGACTGGTTTTAGGCTCCTCCTCCTCGCTCGTCAGTGCTGGATCTGATCAAGATGCTTGGTACGTGTTCCTGCGCTGTCAGCTGGAGACGCAGCACAGCACCCCTTAGGAGAGGATGGCAGTGTAGTTTTTAAAAGGAAATTAAAACAGTTTTTCTCTTTTTAGTTCACGAAAGACCTCATTTAATTAGGGCAGCAAACGTGTAAGGGGAGAAAGAAGATGGGTGCCGGAGAAGGAACAGAATACTAACCAGTGGTTAGAGCCAGCCAGGGGTGGGGCCCACATCTAGAACTGAAACTCTGATTACGAGCGCCACACCTCTTAGCCACTGTGTTCATTCGATTTCCATGGGGGCTTCGTATCTTGCCTTTCAGTGCATGTTTGCACACCTCACTGTGTTCACACAAAGCCATGCAAGTGTTCCAGCAAAACCAGCTCTCTGAGAGTGGGAGGAAGGGATCAAGTTTTGGTGCCCTCTTGGGTTTGCATTGGTTTTGAGGGCTTCTCTTTCAGAGACTGCCTTCTAGAAGTTTCTGGAAAAATGAAATTTCTGAGTAATACCCTGGCTTCTGTGGCAAAGCCATTAAGGCAGTAAGGAGCGGGGATGAAGGTCCAGGGTGAATGCAGCCCTCCTGTTCAGACATACATTTATGGTTAACTTTGAGTCTTCGGGGATTTTCCACAACTAGGAGAGGCCTAAACTTTAAAATCTATTACCAGTTCCAGCATGCTTCCTGTGTTTCATTCCTTTAGCGTGGAAGCTGGTGGTGAGTTTAAGTATCTACACCTGCTCCGACATCAGGACCTCCCGGGGCTCACCTGTGTCACCCCTACATCTCTTCACTAGGTTGCCCTCCACAGCTGTGGCTTTTGACAAAGCTGGCTGGACAGGCCCGGGAGTACCCCGTCCACCCCAACCCCAGTGAGCACTGTGGCCTCTGCTCCAGTCTTCCCCACATGAACCTGGGAAGCCGCTTCCAGGAGTCTTGACGGGAACCCCAGGGAAGAGGGGCCATTGCTCCCTCCCCCTTTCACCTGTTAGAAGTAGCTGTTGAAATTGCTGAACTTGAGTTAAATGTGGGGAAAGAGCAGCACAAAGTGAGTGGGCTCTTCAAGGAATGACAGAGACGCACACCCTTGTCACCAAGGGAGAAGAGGAGACAGAACTGGACCTGGGTGGGGCCCACCACTCGGGGAATGACCTCATAGGTTGCTGCCGTGTTAGTTTCATCATATACAGAATTGGAATTATGGCTGTTAAGAGGGTTAGATTATAATGTTGTATAAAGTGGAACAGTCTTTTGGGATTGGTGATTACTGTCTTGGATTCTCTTCTTGGTCTTCTTCGCTTGTGGTTTTCTCGACCCAGCCCAGGACAGCTAATGAACTCCCCTGGTCCTCTCGTCCCCTCCTGGCCTGTCTCCTAGTATCAGTGCTGAAGGCC